TATAGTAAGTAACTCTCCCTAGGTTCTATTTTTCTAGTTTGCTTATGAGGTCATGTGAGACAGTATCAAAATCCTTGTTGAAGTCAAGATATACCATATCTGCTTCTCTCCCCCCCCCCCCCCCGCCCCCTCAAGAAAACTATTGTATTGGTTTGACATGATTTGCTTATTGATCACAGTATATTCTTCTAAGTGTTTGCAAATTGATTACAGGCAGTCCCTGGGTTACATGGATTTGACTTACATCGGATCCCTACTTACAAACGGGGTGAGGCAACCCCACACTAGCTGCGCCTCCCCCCCAGCAGACCGCCGAGACGTGCCGCGGTCCCGCCGCCCGCATCCTCCGCGGCGAGAAAAGCCGCTCAGCGTCTTCCTGATCTGCTGCCCTCCCCCCCAGCAGACCAGGGAGATGCGGAGCGGCTTTTCTCAGCAGACACCTCAGCTTGAGAATAAAGGTCTGAGGGAAGTGAGGTGTGGGAGAATAAAACTGAGCTCTGGAGAAATGTTTGGCTAGAGTTTCCCCTACAATATGTACCAGTTCCGACTTACATACAGATTCAACTTAAGAACAAACCTACAGTCCCTATCTTGTACGTAACCCAGGGACTGCCTGTACTTAATTATTTGCTCCATTATCTTTGTGGGCATTGAAGTTAAGATGACTGGTGTAATTCCCTGAGTTGTCCTTATTTCCCTTTTTATGGATTGACATTAAATTTGCCCTTTTCCAGTCTTCTGGAATCTCTCCTGTCTTCTGTGACTTTTCAAAAGTAATTGCTAGTAATTCAGATATCTTTTTAGTCAGCTCTTTGAGTATTCCATGATGAATGTCATCAAGACTACGTGACTTGAAGACATCTAGCTTGTCTATGTAATTTTAATTTGTTCTTTTCCTATATTAGCTTCTGATCCTACCTCATTTTCACTGTCATTCACTGTGTTAGACTTCTAATCTCTACTAACCTTTCTGGTGAAAGCTGAAGCAAATATTCATTTAGCATATCTGCCATCCAGTTCTAATGTATTTATAGACTATAATTCTTGTTACCCTTTGTGACCCTAGCTAGTAAAATTTTGTTTTTTTGCCTTAGCCTTTCTAATTTTGTCCCTACATACTTGTGTTATTCATTTATACTCACCCTTTTTAATTTGATCTAGTTTTTACTTTCTGTAGGATCCCTGTTTTTGGGGGGGAAGAGGGGAGAAAGGAAGGGTTGAGTTTTATATTACTGAAGATTTGTTTAAGACAGTGTGGTCTCTTGCCATACTTCTGACCTTTCCTTTGAACATTTAAATAATGTGTGTAGTGTCATGTAGTATTGTTCATACTTAAATTTTCAATATTAAAATGTTCTAGTATATATTTGACCTACATTTTATATGATCTTCCCTTTGAAATGGGTATTAGTAATTTCATCAGCAACCATTTATCACACATTCCTGTTTTAAACCAAGAATAAATATTTAGGTATACATCTCATTCAGTGCCTGTATATGCCATCACATTTTTACTATTAAATTTAACTTTGTGATATAATGTGTAACTTTTTAATATAAAGAAATTTAATAGACTTCTTCTCTGGCATAGACAACGTTGGGAAAAGGTACATATGTATTTAAGGTTGAAAGAAAACCTATATGTCTTGTGTTACATGAGGGAAAGTATATTATCAGAGTCCTGTAGCGGCTTGAGCAGTTGCTGCTCAGTGGTTCCCTGCAGCTGGTGCTACTAGCCCTGGTCCCCCTCCCCCACTTCCCCCCAGGTATCAGGCCCCTGCAGCTTCCCCAAATCATCAGGCCCTCAGCCATATACACCTCCCAGCAGTGCCTCGCACCTGCTAAGATTCAGTCAGGGACATTTATGGTAAGTCATGGACGGGTCACAGGTCATGAATTTCTGTTAATTGCCATGACCTGCTCATGATTTTTATTAAATAAGTCTATATTTAGTCAGAGATATATGATGACTAAACATTACACTGTCACATACGTGCACTTAAGGACTGAGGTAAGACTGCTTGTGTAATGTTGCCAGTTTTCCACTCTATAATGTTTTGCTGTGCAATTTTCATTTTCTCAATGTGCTTTTTGTATGGGATTTCCTGTTTATTTTATAAAAGGAAGAGGGAAAAATAAAGCTACTTCGCTCTTGAGGACTCAAAACTCTGCTGATGTAATATGTGCAACTTCCATAATGCAGAATTACTTGGCTAGACACCAAATGAACATCTTGCCTCATGCACCTTAGGAAGATCATAGATAGATGTCACTCTTCTGCAAATGTAGGAACTCTGTAGTTGAAGAAGCTCGCTCAAGTCTATTAGAATGGGCCTTCCCCCTTGTACTCTCTATATAATGTAGGCAAGAATCTTCCTTAGCTATTGTGCACTTGCTAAGGAGTGAAGAAATGAGGCTTCTCTCTTTCATTTCTCAATAGTTCCCCAACTGTGGAGACTTCTGGTTTAATGGGGGAGCATGGGTGGGCCCTGCAGCATAAAAGAGAAGGAGGGTCTATACAACAAGGAAAACATTAATATTGAAACCAGTTCTTTGAACCATGCATACATTTTTAACCAATGACTGGCTCCTAGCAATTAACATTTATGAACTTCATACTTTTGGTAAATAAATAGTGGGAGCTAGGTACAGCTGAAAACCTCATGTATTGGTTGCATAAAGTGTTTTATAGTGATGTGATGTTTCAAAGAAAAGAGCATTGCAGTTGCCTGATCCCTGAAACCTTCATTCTTCTATGTTACTCTCTTTGGAACTTCTAGCTACTTCATTCCACAAGCTCTCACTGCTGGTTCTGTGTATCCACATAGCTGAAGACTTGCTAAGGAGTGTTAGGTGGGAGCCCCACTCATCTGACTGATAGCTGTCAGCAAAGCCTAGAACTCTGATGTACAGGCAGTCCCCGGGTTACATGGATCCGACTTACATCGGATCCCTACTTAAAACAGGGCGAGACAACCCCGCACTAGCTGCTTCCCTCCAGCAGACCAGGGAGACGCGAAGCTAGCGCCCCCCCCAGCAGACCAGGGAGACACGGAGCGGCTTTTCTCAGCAGACACCTCAGCTTGAGAATAAAGGACTGAGGGAAGTGAGGTGAGGGAGAATAAAACTGAGCTCTGGAGAAATGTTTGGCTAGAGTTTCCCCTACAATATGTACCAGTTTCGACTTACATACAAATTCAACTTAAGAACAAACCTACAGTCCCTATCTTGTATGTAACCCGGGGACTGCCTGTATAGGCACATTCTTCTGTCAGCCTGCTGAAGTTGCCTTCTTGGCTCTCTTTCAGAAGCCATCCAAAAGTGGGTGTCAGCAACAGCTCCCAACCTTAAATGGTCCACAAAAAAAAAAGGAATAAAAGTTTCTCCACAGCTGTACACCTTAGGGCAGGCATGTCCAAAGTCCGGCCCGCGGGCCAATTGCGGCCCGTGTTCCGGTTTAATACGGCCCCACAGGTAATTTGGCAATATCTATCTTTTATGGCCCCCAACGAATCCATATGTATTGAGATGAATACATTGTAAAATCTCAGTTAATGTCAGTTGGTCTAAATCAGTTATAAATATATTTGGACACAACATGTATACTTGGTGTTATGTTCCTGTTCATATTTTTTGAACTTAAAAGTTGACAGACAACCTTTATTACCAATAATATGTAATGTACTTTACAATGTTCCTGACATATATTTCAGCTTCCTGGATTTTTTTTTCATCTGGCCTTCAGATATGAAAGGCAGAGTGATTTAACACCTGTTTAGATTTGTCATCCATGTGACGAAATGAAAAGTATGCCGTTTGCAATAAACTTTGCATAAAATAGTTAATTTGCATTTAATTTTAATGGTTCAAAGAATGTCAGGCAAAATGGTCGGCCCTCACGCATGTTCACTTCATCAAATCTGGCCCTCTTTGAAAAAAGTTTGGACACCCCTGGTATATAGCATTAACTGTTATAAGCAGTGACTCTCACGATGGGCTCGTCTACACTGGCCCCTTTTCCGGAAGGGGCATGTAAATTTCACCTATCGTCGTAGGGAAATGCGCGGGGGATTTAAATATCCCCCGCGGCATTTAAATAAAAATGTCCGCCGCTTTTTTCCGGCTTTTAAAAAAGCCGGAAAAGAGCGTCTACACTGGCCCCGATCCTCCGGAAAAAGCGCCCTTTTCCGGAGGCTCTTATTCCTACTTTTAAAAGCCGGAAAAAAGCGGCGGACATTTTTATTTAAATGCCGCGGGGGATATTTAAATCCCCCGCGCATTTCCCTACGACGATAGGTGAAATTTACATGCCCCTTCCGGAAAAGGGGCCAGTGTAGACGTAGCCAAGGTGTACACTATGGATCATTGTAGCCTTAACCAGCTATGCCTTCAGTAACTTCTCAGATACACAGCTGTGGTTCTGATCCTGCAAACACTTATGCATGTGAGTAGTACCATTGAAGTCAGTAGGATTATTTGCAAACTTAAAGTTGAGCATCTGTGCATAAATTTTTGCAGGACTGGAACCTTCATTACATTTATTAAAGCCTTCTTTGGAGCTATGTACTTTGAGCTAAGCCAAATAATAATAGTAAAAACTTATCACCAAAACATTAAGTACCTTTGACTAAAGTCTATTTTATACCACATTTCAAACGTCTTCTCCTAGTTGTTTTAGCTGCAGTATTGTAAAAAAATCTCCAAACTCACTTTTTTGTTCAAACTTTCTTACTCACCCCATTCACAGTTAGGCAGAAACTAAGCATAAAACATTGTCATTATTTTAATGGTATCGGCATGGGAGTTGTTGTCCAACATTAACTTCTGTGCTTCCTCTACTATTATATCCCAGATTCTGCATAACAGAGTTATAAAGAAAATACCTTGAAACTATTGTTCTATTTTTACAATAAGAAAGCTGGCCTCCTGTGTTCCAGTTTTCACTTTTTAAAAAAACACACTTGTTTTTCTTTGATGATTTTTCCATAACTTAACCTTACATTTTCTTGACGTCCCAGCTGAGTGTCTCTTTCTGTGAGAATCCAGGGTCTCCATAATGTAGGATTGCTGAAAATATGAAGAACAGCAACATACTCTCATAGATAATTCTTTCTGACCTTGGCCATATTTCAGTGCAATGATAATTACTTTCATTACATGCTGTCTGTGCCTTTGAAATAAGTTTATTTTTGGCTCAACACACTGATATTGGTCCAACAGAAATTACCTTGACTGCTTTGTCTGTCTGATGTCCCTAATTAATGTGGATTGCACCTGGCTTTACATGATCAACTTGAGTGTTTTTGCTTATATTTTGATCACAGGGTGACGAATACATTTATTAAGTCAGCAACTTATTGCATTGCAGTGATGACTGCTAACCTGAAATCTAATAATTTTAATAAAAACATACCCACTTTCAGGTATTACAGCAACCTCTTTATCCCTTCTAACTTTTTTTTTAATCTCACAATCATATTTACCTGTTTTTAAATGTCTTTTCTCTTCTCTGTTACTAAATACTCACACATACTCTGCTGTCAAATTCTCAAAGTAAATACACTAAAAAAACAGTTCTCATCTTTCAGCTAAGGTAACCTTCTCTGTAACTAGAGCTAAATGCAGAATGTACTGTTTGGAAACGTTCTTCATTTAAAGGGACTTTTCCCCCCAAAAAATAACAATTCTGACCAGTTCTATAATGTATTTGTAACATGTAAAATAGTAGATAAATCACAACAGTGTTTTCACTTATTTTTAACCTGGTAATTCTTTATGGTGCAGCTATTTCCAATCAACTATTTGAGAAGGTCACAATGATAATGTGCACTTAAAGTCTAAACAACTAGATAAGGTAGTTATTTACATGATTTGTTCTGTTGCAAAAGGCACTGCATGTAATTTAACAGGTGGTGTTATTTGAAAGAATGATTTTACCCATAGACACAGAGAACACTGAATTTCATTTCCAGAGATTAAATACCTGCCTATATGCTCATCCTGTCTTTGCCCATTGTCACTACATAGTAATCCTGCAAGAGATTTTAAAAACAGGGGTTTTGAGGAAGCATTTCTCCTTTCTTCTGTCTTACCTTTCTGGCTGCTCTCTCCCATGGAAAGAATGCAGCTGGATATCTCTGGAAGAGTGACAGAGCTGAGTCACTGTAGCCTGGAACAGATGTTTAGCTGCAGCAGCCTCCATAGCACTGGCCTGTCTGCTGTCTAGTACTCCTCTGCCTGGCTGCTTCTCCAGGTATTTCAGCTCCTCCTTTACTGCAGTTCCTCAAGAATACTTATTTAAAACAAGCAAGCCTTCAGGTAAAGGGAAGGAGACGGCCTTAATGAGTTTGTTTTCTCCCAGGGTTTCCAAGTTCTGTGTAGTGTAATAAACACAATATGTTTATTTACTTCAGTCAGTACCTGACAGTGGAAATAACCTAGAGGGTTTCTCTTCCTGCCTTTGTTGTACTGTATCTTTTTACTTACTTTTATTTTATGTGAAGTACACTGTGAATATATGGAGTTGTGTATAAATAAAAAATTAAGTAGGAAAATCTTCAGCCTCAAATATCTAACAAAACAAATGGGGAAACTGCCTATCCAGTCCCCAGGTAACTTCAAAAATACCTTTGTTTTAAAATTGCAAAATAATCTGTTAGTTCCAGATTTCAAAAAAGGAAAAAATACCAGAGTGAAGGAAGATGAAAACTTAAAATGCAGACTTCATGATTGCCATAAAAGCAGAGGATGTTACTTTTTTATCTTGATCTGTTTGGTGGGAGGGAAGAGAAAGATAAGAGATAGACCCTGCAACAATGCATGCTTGGTAATGAATGCCACTCCTTTGAAGGTTTTGCTGTTGCATGATATATAATACATATTTTAAACTACCAGAATTACACAGAGATAAACATCATCTAAGTTTCCAATCCATTGGCTTAATTTGGGCTACTATTGACATTGACTATTATACTGCTTGAAAGATTTATTGCAGCTGGTTACATTACCTGCTTTTCATTGCTATGGTTCATTTGCTTCTGTTCACCTGGCTTTCTTTATGTCTTTGATTTTAGTGAAGACCCAATTCCAAATTACAAAAGGATTGTAAGAACTTTGGGATAGATCCTTTTTTCACTTAAGCTGTTTTTTCATTGATTCAATAGTAGCAAGATTGAGCTTCCAAATATGAGAATGCCTTTTCTTAGGAAATTTCTTTGGTGAAGACAGCATGCGCAAAGATCCTTAGTCACAAATCGTATAACCCATAGCGGGTTGCCTGAAGTAAGCCCTCAAAACTGTCAGCCAGGATGAGTTCAGTAGATGAGGGGCCCACTTTTTCTCTAAATAAGACACTATCACTCTCTAGCAGTGGTATTAAACTACTTCTGAGCTACACATTGAAGCACAATTCCTGGGAAAGCATCAGTGAATTATACTCCATTCAGAGAGGGGGGGAAAATCCTTTGAGAAGAACTTTTTTTTTGGCAGGAAGGAAGTGCAGTTACCATAATTATTAATGTAAAAGCTCTTATTTATTAAAATATCTGGCATCAGGGAGCTTTATGTTATGTGTATCTGACTTCATATCACATTTGCTCACTTTACCGGTTAAAATACTTACTTTCCTCACTGCCATTCTGGCAGCCTAAGTTGGATTTGACAGTGAATCTGGCTACCTTCTAGCTTTTGCACCCTCACAAGTAATAAATGTTCTGTAGTTTGTGCTAAACAAAAACAAACAAACAAAAAAACCCTCTTAAAATGCTATTTAGAATAGCGTATAGCTCATTCTTTTGTATTTTTATTAGCACTGGAGTGGTAACAGGAGTGTAAACAATAGTTTTATTTTTTTAACAAAGCAAACAGATCATGCTGAAAATATACAGAGATTGGATCTGTTGAACAGGTGTCATTTTTACATTCCCTTTTCTTACTATAATCATACGTCCACAGGTAGAGCCCTGCACGGATATAAAATTTGTATCTGCATCCACAAAAAAGAGCCACGGATATCTGCATTAACATTCATCGATTTGGATATCTGTGGATATGCAGTGGATATCTGCCAATTTATAGGGTTCTAGATACAAAATTTGTATCCACATCTGCATACATATCTGCAAAAATGAGATGTGGAGGTCTGCCTCCATGGTTACCCGCAGATACACAGCAGATATTCATGGATTTGCAGGGCTCTTTTCATAGGCAGCTTGTGGTAAGTACACAGACTTTACCATTAGGCACCAAAGGGCATGTCTGCACTGCACACTTATTTCAGAAATTTATATTTTGAAATAGCGCATAGACACAGCAAATGCCACAGAAATAGCACTGAGCTATTTTGAAATAGAGTATCCACACTCATTGGATGCTGAAGTACATTTAAGGCCACCCGGAACCACTTCAGGCAGGGCATCAGGTCAGCAGTTACTTCCTGGAGCTGCTGCCTGAGGCTATCTGAGACTTGAGCATAAAGGGACCCCCCCAGTACAGCCGTGTCTCAGGTTCTTCTCCTTTGCCTACCTCCTTGAAGGACAGCAAAGCCTTTTCTCTGCCTGATCTGGTTGGCCTTGTGGATACCTCAGCCCTCTAGCCATGGAGCCAGACCTGCCTCCCAGCAGTCAACATCTCTTATATGTCTTAGTGCACCTCCTGCTGCAGTTTCTGTGGGCTGCCTTCCACACCCTGCAGGAACAGGACCTCCAGGCCAATATGGGTCACCTTCTCACCTCTTTCCAGGCACTACTCATCGTACATATCATGCACCACTGCTGCTGGCAGCTGGACACCAGCTCCGACTGGTGGGACCAGCTCGTCCCGAAGTAGTGGGACGACCAACAGAGGCTCCAGAATTTATGTATGCAGAAGGACCCCTTTCTGAAGCTGGGTGAGTGGCTTGCTCCTGCCCTCTGACGACGGGACACCCATATGAGACCCACCATCACCCTCCAGAAGTGATCACCATTGCCATCTTGAAGCCTGCCACACCAGACAGCTATCGATTAATCAGGAACCAGTTCAGCATGGGGAGATCCACCGTTGTGGCCGTGGTCATGCAGGTATGGTGCTCTCATGCTATTGTCCCAGGAAGTTTTTCAGTCTCGCCTTCACAAAGTTCTGATGAGAAATGGGGCAAGTAGGGGTTGTTCCTGGTGTGTGGGGACAAGAGGAGGAGGTGGGGCTCAGGGGCCTCCTGAGGGCTCTGGTAAGCCTGTAGTTCTGTTTGTTTGTCTCCTTCTGCAGATGATGAGGACTATCAACACCATCCTGCTGCGCAGTCATTAACCTGGGCAACGTGGACACCACCATTGCCAGCTTTGCTGCTATGGGCTTCCCCAACTACACGGGGGTGGCTATTGATGGCACCCGTATCCCCATCTGGGCCCCTGACCACTGGGCAGTCCAATACAGCAACCAGAAGGGGTATTTTTGGATGGTCCTGCAGGCCCTCATCGACCACTGTGGCCTTGTCACCAATATCTATGTCAGATGGTTAGGGAAGGCGCATGATGCACATGTCTTCTGAAACTCCAGCCTGTTCCAGAAGCTGTCCAATACAGCAACCAGAAGGGGTATTTTTGGATGGTCCTGCAGGCCCTCATCGACCACTGTGGCCTTGTCACCAATATCTATGTCAGATGGTTAGGGAAGGCGCATGATGCACATGTCTTCTGAAACTCCAGCCTGTTCCAGAAGCTGTGTGCTGGCACTTTTTTTCCTGACCACACCATCAGGGTGCTGATCTGTTTTGTGGGGGATGCAGCCTCCCCTCTGCTCCTGGGCTCATGAAGCCCTACACCGGACACCTTGAGCCCACCAAGGAATGCTCTAATGCCAGGCTCATCCAGGCCCACTTGGTAGTACAGGGTGGTTGAGGTCACCTTTGGGCATCTCAAGGGGAGGTTCCATTGCCTCCTCACCTGGCTGGACCTCAGTGCGTGGAACGTCCCCCAGGTGGTGGCAGCATGTTTTGTCCTTTACAATATTTGTGAAATCAAGGGGGAGACATTTCTGTCAAGATGGGGGGTAGAGGCTGATTGGATTGGCAGGGCCTTGGAGCAGCCACATATGTTGAGGTCACCTTTGGGCATCTCAAGGGGAGGTTCCATTGCCTCCTCACCTGGCTGGACCTCAGTGCGTGGAACGTCCCCCAGGTGGTGGCAGCATGTTTTGTCCTTTACAATATTTGTGAAATCAAGGGGGAGACATTTCTGTCAAGATGGGGGGTAGAGGCTGATTGGATTGGCAGGGCCTTGGAGCAGCCACATATGTGGCTGCTGTGTGGCAGGCCCATCAGGGGGCTGTGTGTATGTGAGAGGCCTGGAGGAAGAGTTTCCCACAAGGACACCAGTGACACTCTTCCCTGGGCCTCCCCACAAGGGGCCTGTGCATTGCCTCTCTCTGCATTTCCTCCTACATCCCTCTCCTCCCTTCCCCCCTTTCCTTCCCCTCTCCTGCAGAGACAATAAACCACACTTTTTGGGAGAAACAATAGACTCTATTTTTATTACTGGGGTAAATGTAACTGGGGAGAGAATGGGAAAGAACCTGGGATGGGGGAAGAGGGAAGTGAAAGAGGAGGAGGGAGGAAAAAGGGAGGTGGAAGGGGGAGGAAAGGCCTAGGGCAAGGACTGGAAGTGGCACTTGCATTGGATGGTGCCACTGCCTTGTGTGCGGGGCCCATAGCTGCCGGGGAGGGAGGAGAGAAGTCAGAGGGGCAGGAGGCAGCGCAGGAGCGGCCACCCGCTGGTCAATGACCATGTGGAAGACTGTGCAGATAGATCGTCCCTGCTACAGCAGCTCCTGCCAGGTGTCACATTGTAGCTGGAGGTCCTCCTCAAATCTTCAGCCCTGTTGGTCCATGGAGCCTTCATGCATTATGGTGTGTGTGTGTGTGTGCATGCGTGCATGCATACATATAGGCTACGTCTACACTGGCACCCTTTTCCGGAAATGCTTAAAACGAAAAAGTTTTCCGTTATAAGTATTTCCGGAAAAAGCGCGTCTACATTGGCAGGATGCTTTTCCGGAAAAGCACTTTTTCCGGAAAAGTGTCGGTGGCCAATGTAGACGCGCTTTTCTGCAAAAAAGCCCCGGTCGTCATTTTCGTGATCGGGGCTTTTTTGCAGAAAAGACTACTGTGCTGTCTACACTGGCCCTTTTCCGGAACAGTTTTTCCGGAAAAGGACTTTTGCCCGAACAGGAGCAGCATAGTTTTTCCGGAAAAGCACTGACAATTTTACAGTAGATCATCATTGCTTTTCCGGAAAAGCAAGCGGCCAGTGTAGACAGCTGGCAAGTTATTCTGGAAAAGCGGCTGCTTTTCCGGAATAAGTGGCCCAG